GAATGTGCGAAAAAAATAGACTCCCGGGACTGTCTACAGGGAACACTCGCATATTGCCCAACATTCGCGGTGTATCAGGACAGCGCGACTGGCCAAGCAACCAGTCGGCATTAGCGCAGTCCCTGTAATTAGTAACAGTTGCACATCAATCCGGCCGAAAGCATGATTGTGTAACACAGGCTACTTCTTCACATACCGGCTCATACTACAAGACGCCTTTACAACTAGCAAATCATAAAATTACCCGATCTACTAGTATGTGCGGTTTACCAGCCCCAGACCACATCCGACCACGAGGCAGAACACATTGATGGGTTGCTCAAAAATATTGTCCATGTTTACAAAGAGCTGCTCCACTAACACTATGGAGCGGACCCAACCCAAAAATATTGGCCATGTGTACAGACAAGCGGCAAGCATGCTCGTTGCTAGGACGACAGGCCAGTTGCTACGTGACTAAATACACGCCGCCACTAGGTCGCCACAGCCGACCAGTTCGAAATCAATAGGATTACATCATCGGTATTTACATTTCGTAATGCTGACCACTGACCACCCCACATTTCCGTCCCCATCAGCCTGACTGCGACTTACAACTACCGGTCCGACGGACGAAAACATTTACAACGACATGGGGATGTTTCGAAAATAAGCATTTACTCCAATATCAAAACAGCTACGGTAAAAATAAAAAGACGTGCATCATCCCGAACATAATGCCACACCACATGCGAAATTACACAGAAATGCGACGTACGGAAGAATGCGTTTTGGCTGCGAACATCTTCCAAAAAAACTTGCCATCTCTTAACCATGGGCAAAAACATCTGGAACCACTTTTAAAAACCACCCCGTATCTGCATGAAGTTCCACCCCCCCACTGCTATTCCAAACAACGCGTTTTTCTGGACCATTCCAATTCGCCTCGTAATTGTAGGGGTGCGTCTGCAATATTACATTGACCGCGAAAGCAGCAACGGCAAAAATACACATTCGTGCATCAACACGGGCATGCACGCAGACGGCGTATAAAATTGCGTGCCGATTACACAAAGAGAACCCAGTGTTTTGACTGCGAACATGAAAAATCAGCCGATCACAACACTCCGTCCGGAGGTCCTGACCTCCTTCACGGAGTAACAATGAATTTTGAACTTTTAATGATACCATTGCATTGAAAGAAAGAAAAGGACTGTTTTCAACTGTTCAATGCAAAATATGAGCATTTTGCATCTGAATTTTTTTTATTGCAAATCAGAAAAAAATTAAGCGGGGTAGAATCCGTTAACCAAGAAATTAAATTGGTGTGGCCTAAGGTTTAACAATGCATCAGGACTGTCTCAAGGTCTGTCCACCTGTTCGCTTGTGGACAAATATTTCACCTGATTTACTGAAGAAAAAAATGCTTCTGAAAAGGCGTTTACTTCTGCAGAAGTCTGAAACATTATTTAATGCATGTGTTTGAAATTCAGATGTCAGATTGGAAATTTTGTAGTCTTGCCTTTGGTCAATAAAAAAATACTACCGGTAGATTCAGCGGGTTTATGCTAGGGTTGTCTGGGAAACTGTAAGCAGAGCACCCGTATCGAAGGTAATCGTGGCCCAGGTATGACATAAAGTGTTCATGATCCAATCACAGCCCTGTGCTGGAGGTCCCCACCAACAACCCTCTGTCTGAAGACCAGGCCAGGCAATATTTCCGGGATGTGCTTCTGGGACTGGAGTATTGTAAGTACATGATTGTAGTCTAGACTGTTTTGTTTCTTTTTTTTTCCTCAAGTCTAGTTCTATCAAGCTGTACATGTATATTGGTATTGAAAATGATATTTTGGATCTTCTTCTTTCATTTGTTTTATATTGTCTGTTACAGTGCAATATCAAAAGATAATCCATGGGGATATCAAGCCTTCCAACCTGCTGTTGGGTGATGATGGACATGTTAAGGTGAGCCTTTCCAGCTTTAAACTAGTGACTAGGTACAGGTAATAAATACAGAATAACTAAGTACCGATACTGTACTGGTATATAGTTACACTACCATAAGTTGCCTCATGTGATACAAACTTAACATGGCCAAAGTGATGTCTAGAAGGAGCAAAAATGAATATATTGCAACATATCTTTCAGGGACAGCTTGAGAATTGTAGGAAACTATGAAAAATGCAACAAGGAAACAATTAATCCACATGGTTCTGTTGTGTATGAATAAGACATTAAGCCAGCTAGTTCAGAGTGTCCTGTTTTATTTGAATAACCATTCTGCCAGTTTATCATTGTTTTCTTATGATCATTTGAAGGAGATAAGGAGGAATTATGTTAATTTGTCAAATTGTTCAGGTACAGGTAACAGGTGCTTAATCCTCTGTACCTGTGCTAAGTCTGATGTCACATTTTGGTATGCAGCCCTACTCCAGACTGATCCATGTGCATCTGTTCAAAATATATCAACAAGGATGTATCTTCTGGGTTGAATGGTAAAAGAGACAAAAAAATTCTTTAAAAAAAAACAACAACTGGAAAATCCAACGGGGAATGCCATAACTTAGGACACTTTTTCAGCACACTGCACATCACTAGTTGGCTGGAAATGGTCAGGTTTTGTTGAATTAAATTTGAACACATTAAGAACATCAAGTATATTATTATTTGTTATTATTGTCAAGTATAAGAAATAAATTCATACTATTCTTGAACCTAACATGCTTTTTGTTATAAAGGTGAAAGATGGTGTTGCAAAATGTTCTTTTCAATTTTGTGCCAATGTTAGATGTAAAGTTGGGATTGTGCGACAGTACTCCTCCCCCAGTGCATCTTTATCTAGTGTAACTCAGCCTGTTGTAGTGGAAACCCTGCTACATAGTGACAGCCCTGGATGTACATTGAATAGTAAAAAAACAAACTAGAATGGCCGACATTTGCTCATGAGCAAACGTAGCTTCATTACATTCCCCATGCCAAAAATGGACCTATCCCCCTCCCACACAAATGGATTATTCTTAAGTCACCCCTGTTCAAAATGTGAAGTGTTCCAACAGTCTATATGTCATCAGGTCGTTTGGTTCCCAAAATTTAACGAAGTGGCAGGGGTAGAATGAGAAACACAAAGAAAAGATTGTTTTTCATCAATCTAAATATGATATGAAATGAATCACATGTATAACTAAAAACACAACAGTTGGATACCGTTGGATACTACATGTAGTAGCTAACATCCTATACATCATTGGTAAGGAATTATATTTGCCTGATGCAAACTGTTGATTTTCAAGATTAAAAAAAGTTTACGCCAAAAAAATGACACCACCTACATGGTCAGATCTCTTTATAAATACATAGAAAATTATGTTCCATTTTCATCCCAGGGTCAGTAAAAGAAAACATTCTGGTAGATACTGGTAGATAGTTTTGTGATTATTAACTAGTAGGACTGAAGAAGTGACATAAGTTTGGGACCTCTCAGATTGCAGATTTTGGTGTCAGCAATGAGTACGATGGAGTGGATGCCTTGATGTCCAGCAGTGTGGGAACTCCTGCCTTCATGGCACCAGAAACGCTGTCAGGTAAGTTTATTTATTTATTTATTTCATCTCAAGACGGCTGGGTAGCCCCATTCAGCTTGTATCGGCTGTTTTCCAAGGGGGTCCAGCAAAATTACACAAGACATTGTAACGTACAGTGAGACAACATACAGACATAAAAGTCTGATTCGTCAAAACAGAGTCATAGTCCTATACTCAAAGTCCTGGCCGTTCAAGGTCAAATGCACGAAAATCAAGGAATGGAGGTCAGAGGTCAGGTTTCATATGACATGTTTCAAGCCTGTTTTAAACTGAGATAGTGTAGGTACATGTCGTAGGTCTGCTGGAAGTGTATTGAAGTGTGTCGTGCCTCGGAAAGCAAATGTGCGGTGACCAGCTGTAGTTGTGTAGTTAGGTTTGTGCAGTAGTGAGGTCTGTCTGGTGTTGTAGTTGTGTAGCCGGTGGTTATGTACAAATGTGGCATCCAAGTATGTTGGGACAATTCTCCAGGACTTGTGCATGCACAATGTAGTTGGCATTTCTTTTAACATATTAGGTGCTGATTGTTTGTAGGAGATCCTGATAGCACAGCCACATCATGATATTATACGTTCACTACTGAACATTGTAATTTGTGTAGGTCAAATACATTTTGTGCTTGAATACAGGGTTGGTGGAAAAAGACCAGTCTGGACTGGTCTAGGGGTCGGAAAAAGAGGTCCAGTCTGAAAAAAGGGTCTGGATGGGGGTTCCTGTAACACTTGATGCTAAATTCAGTTGGATGGCAACATTCATCCCCTAATCCTCAAGCTGATTGTTTCCAGTCGGTAAAACAATATCCAACCCTACTGTAGATCTGCCTGGACTTGGAGGTTATGTTCTAAGGACTGTCTGGAAACCCTGGCTCTTCAGATAGCTTCCAAATGTTCTACAACTGCTTGTACATTGTGTTGGTCCTGGTATCAGACTGTATTCAGCTGAGAGCCACTACTAAAAATTTCATAAGAATTCAGAAGGAAAGAAACCTAAACGTTCACTTCTGGGATGAATTTTAGTACTCAAAATGTTTGCATAAATGAGATGCCATGGGTAAACCCAGGAGGTTATATTCAACATGGGATAAATCCAATATTTCTTTGAGAAGTTTAAAAAATTCTGAGCACATTATATACAAGTAGTCAATCATTTGTCTGGCAAACTTTGCCATCCCTGCAATTCGCCTTAGCGTATAAACAAGAATGAACATACATGTACATTGTACATGTATATCTATATAATGTCCTTAGCCTGTGTGGTTATTACTCTATCATATTCCCCTTCACACTTTCATGTCGTATTCATTGTCTCAACATAGTTAAGTGTCTTGAATAGCAGCTATTTGGACTTTCTATCAAAACCATGCCTAGACCCCATGCAGACCCTTTTTTCAGACTGGACAGGTTTTTCCGCCCCCTAGACCAGTCCAGACTGGACCTCTTTTTCCACCAACCCGTCTGAGGCCATTGTTATTTTTATTGATACAAAGTCAACCAAATTTGTAGAATTTATTTACAGAAGGAATTGAACTGTTAATAATCCAGTAACTGAGTCGTGCCCCTCCATGCAGACCCATGTGTGGGAATGCCCAACTGAAGTTTGGATTGATGACATACACTGAAAATGTGCTATCAGTGCAGGGAGTAGCTAGGATATTCAAAACCTGTCTAAACCGATAGTTTCAAAACTTGCATCAAAGAAAGGAAGCTTTGTCAGTACTCTTTAAGGCCACACCAATTTAATTTGTTGGTTCTCGGATTCG